ATATAATTTATTATATATTTTAGTTATATATATATATATATATATATATGATAATCAAAAGTTACATGAAGTAAAATAGATTATATCCGATTCCAAAAAAAGGAGATTAGTTATTCATTCCCATGAGAGCTAAATCATAAAAGTACAAAAAAAATGTTGAAGATCCTATGTTTGAAATTGTCGTTCTTTCGTTTCCAAAGTCTTGGAAAACCTTTAAGAGCCTCCAATAATGGTCATGCCTTTGTGTGTAAGAGAGAGATTCCAAGATGAGAGATACTCGAGTTCCCAATATCTAATTTTTCTCCCTTTTTTTTTTGTTCGTCCCTGGAGTATCCACCGCCGACAGCAGTGACTAATCTCCTCGCTACGTTGGAGGCACCTCAAAGGGTGGGATAGCTAGCCCCAAGATTTAACGCGGCTGCATACACAAGGCAGGATTCGAACCCCTGACCTTGCTTAAGCGTGGATCAACCCCTACCGCTGAACCACACGCTTGGGGTTATTTTTCTCCCTTTTATATCAAGGACAGAGCGCCTTATTATTATTATTATTTTTTGTCAAAATTCATTCGGTTACAAAAATTTATTGGGCAAATCTGAGAGTTCTTTATCTTGAAGTAACAAATCAATCTTTATCCTGAAGTAACAAGTCAATCCATCTAGAGAAGTTTTACCCAACAATTGACTAACAAACTACGTCATTGGCCTTTGCTACCAAATTCAGCTAGCAAGTGTTTTTTTCACCCAACAAATTTTCAACTTTTGGGATCATTTTTTTTTTTTTTTTACTTTCAAATTAAAATAAGTTTTTTTTTATTCCTCACTTAAGTCTTGATTCTTTCCACTTAATTTCCTATTGCACCTGTCGGCTGTCACAAGAAAATATAATTGGGTTAATTAGTTAAATAGTTATCAACATAAAAAGTATATTAACAAAAGTTAACTACTTTTGATAATTTAAATGAAGAAAAAAGTAAGAGACTTAAGTTAAATATCTTATTTGTAAAGATAATTAATGTAAATTTGACATGTAATAGCAACACTCATACAATTATATTAGTTTAGGATTAAAATTTTAAGCAAGCTTAATTACTAGCTATTTATAGTCTGCATTTGTTTATATATATATATATATATAAAAGTAAAAATTTCAATAATTTGTAAAATCATTTAGATGTGAGAAATTTAAAATATCTATTTTGAAGAAAAAATAAATAATGGCATCATAAATCATTGGGATCTATGTCACATCCTAAGTCGATATTGAATGTCTAAAATAATCAACATAGAATCTCTTAATCACATTAGTAACATTATGCTTCTAATGCGTTGACCAGCCGATCTAGAAAATAGAAAGTGAACTTTAGATATTTTATATCATTGGGATTTATGTCAAGTCCTAAGTCGATATTGAATGTCTAAAATAATCAACATAGAATCTCTCGATCACATTAGTAAATTATGCTTCTAATGCATTGGTCAATGTTTTTTATATTTTTGAATTTGATAAAATGATTTCATTAATATTTTTTAATAGAGAAAACTTAGGTGCAATATTATGAATATTTTAAATATTATTTTCTAATAAAAAAATATAATTTTATAAAACAACCTTTAATGTGTGATTGCAAAAAATATATATATATACTCTAAAAAAAATACCTTTACAAATGAATGGTTAATTAAATGGTTTTTTTTTGTTGGTTGGTTGATTAAATGTTTATACTAGACAATATTGCTCTTACATTATGTGCCATGTGTCCCAACCCAAAATAATGCACTCGTGGCACTATCAAAAGCAGATGTTGACAACGACATTAATCGATGATCATGGTGCCATATGCCTCTACCCATTTTCTTCGCAGCATAAGCTTAACTTTTCATATATATATATATATATATATGTATATATATATATGTCAGGTCGGTTTTGATTTCGAAACTCGGCCAATTCCTCCATCTGCATGTACTTCGTGGCTCTCTGCCTCAGGTCGTCAAGGTCTCAGGGTGGCTTTTTACACAGACTGTTAACGAATGGCCCAGGCCGCAACGCCGTGGTTAAGTGATGCATTGCCACGGCCGGGTCCAAATCGCGAATAGACAATGTCATCTTTCCGAACCTCTCCATGAAAGTCCTCAGGGGTTCCTTCTTTTCTTGGCGGATGTTAACCAGTGCTATTGACGTTAGCTGATGCGGACGGCTTGTGGCAAACTGTATCACGAACCGGGAAGATAGGGCCGTGAACGAGTCTACCGATCCGGGAGGAAGTCTCATGAACCAATTGAGCGTTGGTCCTTTCAACGAAGTAGGGAAGACTTTACACATGATCGCATCATCGTCGGTGTACAAACCGACCTGGGTGACGAACGCATCAAGGTGTTCTTCTGGATCGGTGGTGCCGTCAAACTTCTCCAGGGCCAAGTTTTTCTAATTGTCGGGTAGACGGGCTCTGGCAATGTTCGGGGTGAATGGGGTCCTTCCTTGTCGTCGCTGCTGATCGAGAGTAGTAGTCGTCACTCCTGCTGAGTGCTTAGGATCCCTCATTTCTTTGTACCATCCGGATGACTCCCCGTGGTCCCAGGTTGATTGGGTGTTGGGGATATCATGGGACGGATGCCATGACTGGTTATCACTTCTGAGCTTGGCATTCTCTTTTCTCAAGATCGATAATTCATGGGCGTCCTTTTCTCGGAGCCTCTTGAGTTCCATCATTTCGGCCTTCAGCTGCTCGATGGCCGATGAAGGGTTGGGTTGCTAGGACCGGTCCACATATGATTCTTCCATTCCCTCCTAGTTCTGATTAGTTGGCTGTCTAGTGGTGTCGCGGGGCATCCCGAATGGATAGTCGGCTGCATTTTCTTGCTGACTTCTTGTCATTACCATCTTGCTTCAGGGTCGAGAACCGTTCTGGTTTCGGCCCCACGGTGGGCGCCAAAATGTTCCTGCGTAGAAACACTCCTCTCGTCGCTCTTTCTTCTTGATCTTCCAAGTCTTCGGTGCCGACCGAATACTGTCTCCCAAGGGGGGGGAGGGTACCTGCAAAGGCACTCCAACGATCAAGTAAGTATTCGTTATAGAGCAATAAGTGCTTTTATATGGAATAAATCGTACCTCATTTATGTCCCATCACCTGTGTATTTATGTGACATGTTTGGGCCTGGTGGGCCTTTTGTCTTGGGAGATGGGTAACATTTTAATTAACCTTAATCTCCCCTTAATCAGGCATGGTAATTATTGTATAATAGGTATCTAATTTGCCACGTGTTCATGTGAGTTCTCCTTACCTTAAGTCCTTCGGTCACGCCTAAGGTCGACGAGGTATTCGGCCTGGCCTAGGGTCGAAGGGGTATTTGGCCTGATCTGAGACTGAGGAGGTGTCCAGCCTGGCCTAGAACCGAGGGAGTATTCGGCTTGGTCCAGGGCCGAAGGGGTATTCGGCTTGATCTGGGACCGAGGAGGTGTCCGGCCTGGCCTGGAACCGGGGGAGTATTTGGCTTGGTCCAGGGCCGAAGGGGTATTCGGCTTGGTCTGGGACCGAGAGGGTATCCGGCTTGGTCTAGGGCCGAAGGGGTGTCTAGGGTGGATTGGATATTTGCAGGATGCTGGTTTGTACTTGGGCTGAGGGGGGTACTCGGCTTGGCCAAGGGCCGAAGGGGTGTCTTTCGGTTTTGGTGTATTCGGCCTTTGATCAGGTCAAAAGGGGGGTGCCTACTAGTACACTGCCCCCCCAAGCCCAAGGATGGAAGACAAAGGGGTTTGAGTAGGTTTGGTGGGTTTATAGGGTTTCCGTACACTTCTCGGAAGCCGTGACTGTTGATGATACTGATCGTTGTATGCGCAGCCGTCATAGGGTTTCGAGCCCTTAGCTGGTGTCTCTTCAGTTGCAGGAGCATTAATGAGGGGCTTTAGGAATTCTGGGGGGCTTGCCTATATATATAGTGGTAGGGCATGGTCATTGATGCACCTTGTTATTTTTAAATCCTCTGTCCCGACACCTTCGTTGCTTTGTGACCCGAGTGCTTCGTTGAAAAGGTAGATTTGTCTTTCCCT